ATAAAGGTGTTTTGTTTTCCTTATAAAAGTCTTTCCCATATATTTTATATACTTTACTTTTATTTAAAACACTAAGTTAATATTATGATTTAGAACAAATAGCCATTGATTTAATTTTTTGTAATTTTCTTTATTCAAATTAAGAACAAGCTTGCTTCACATGTCAGTCCCTTCTCCCTGTCCCTCCCCTTCCCCCAGCCCTCCACCCCAACCTTCCACCTGCCCTCCACCCCATCCACTCTTCACTCCCCAGGCTGGGTAGGACCCTCGACAGGGGCTCCCCAAATATTTAAGCATTTTTATTTCAAAACATTTTAAGTTTACAGATAACAGGACAGACCGTTCCTAGCTCTCTTTGTCCAGTTGACTGCACTGTTTCTATCTTGTGTAACCACTGTACCCTTTCCAGAATTCAAAAGGTAACATCGGATGATTTTATTAATGACCCTATGGTATGTTTCCAGTTTTCCCCATGGTCTTTTTATGTTCCAGTATTACATGCTACATTAAGTAATCATGAGACCTTAGGCTTCTATAATTGTGATCGTTCCATGTTTTGTCATCCCTGACCTTGGCAGTTTTGCAGACTACTGTTCAGTTGTTTTCTAGAATATATGTTGGGTGCTTTACTCTGGTCAGACACTACAGGCTGGAGGTGATGCTCCTTTTTAGTGCATCACGTTGGTGTAGTGATACTAGGGTGATCTTGATCTTGACCATGTGGCTAATGTATTTACTGGGGCTTTGGCTATAAACTTACAGAAAGGAACAACAAGGAAATTGTGTGCCTGCCTCTTTATAATCTTACTTTTAAAAGAAATACTTTAAAACATGCCAGTTTATAAGGTAAGCCTAACGTCTTTATTTGTAAACTATAACTTGAGTCCACAAACTACCTGAGCAGTGAAATCTTCCAATGTTAAAATAATTTGCCATTGCTTGGAGTTGGTTTCCTTGTAAGAGAAAAGAAAAGAAAAGAAGGTGGGTAGGTTTATGAATTAACATCAAGTCTTGAACTATTTGAACTATTAACAAACCAAAAACTTCTTTGTTAGTAAGGGGAAATAAGAAGGAGTCTCCATTCCAAATCATGAGCACAAAGCTAAATACCATTTGAAGGAAATCTTGCAAGTGCTATGCAGTAAGTAGTAAGGATTTCTCTTTGACAAACATGACAAGGGTTTATGCTCACTTCTCTTTCACAATAATTCTTCATTCTCTGCCACCCAGACAGAGTGTTAGACCATGATTACATGTCCCCTGTGTGCCTGGAAGTGATGGCTCCCCTCCTTCTCATCCTGCCAGTAAAAGCAAAAACAAAACAAGAAAAAAATAAGGCCAAGGAAACATATTTAGTCATTTGATATTAGGGTGTTACTGTCAAATGACTATACACTTTCAAAATCCCACATCTGATTAAAAGAGCTAAGAGGTTATTGAAATCAATATGTTTTCTGGAGTTTGAAAAACAAGCTTAAACATTAAGAACACGCCTTTTGCTTGCCAGTACCCCCAAAGGGTATGTTTTCTTGACAGTTGATTCAGAGATCCTTCACGAAACAAATGTCAAACTTGTCAGGACTGTCACTAAGAGAACGATCCGTGTAGCAGGGGTCTTCTTTCCCTGGGAAACAAGCAGATGTCTTAGCTCAGCAAAGTGAAACCCCTGCCATGAGAGGCAATGTCTGCTTGCGTTTGCTATCGGGTAGTAAGGAAATGCTGCTGAAAGCCTTCCTTTCTTTGCTGTTTCACTTGCTGTGCACTTACTTGTTAATGATAGTGAATGATTTTGTAAATCTTGAGCTGTATATGGAGTTCTTATAAAATTGGCCTACAGTTAAACATGTACACTTCCGAAGGGCAGTCTCATCAGAGCTTTACGGGATCAAGCTGGAATGATTTTGTTTAAAGTAAAATCTATTACTATTACTTTTATACTGTTGTACTATAGCAATTTCAGTGTTACATCCCAGAAGTTAGACATGTCTTTTCCTCCCCTCCATGATCCTTTGCTACACCTAAGTCACAGATACAGTGATACGAAATAACAAGTAGATACACTTGTAATGGTTATATAGGTGTTTTAAAACACAAAAAGGCAAAATTTTAAAGACAAGTCTTTAGAATAAAGAAAAGGATGAGACAGTTGTGTATCTGTCCTATGAGAAGGCAGTGTTAGAAGACACCTGACTTTGTAACCATGCTTCCTGTTTAGGAAAAGTCAATCAAAGAAGACTGCTGTTGTATTAATGTGTTAAGTTGCAGATTTGCTTCTGTTAGGTGTTACATATATTAAACCATTTGTAACTTAGTGGAAATGCAAACTTTTATTTTACTTAACAGAATTCCCCTGTCGTTTCTACTCATTAAACACAAAAGCAAAATATATACTTGGATCTCAGGCTTCCCAGGCTTATTACCTTATCTCTACATCTATATTTTAATTTTTTTGTGTGTGTATACTTAGGTTTTTTTGCCTGCCCCCCCCCCTCTCTCTCTCTCTCTCTCTCTCACTCACGTGAGACCAGAGGCATTCCAGTTGGTTGTGAGCCTTCATGAGGGTGCAGGGAAATTGATCCTGGGTATTCTGAAAGAGCATCCAGTGTTCTTAACTGATGAGCCACCTCTAGAGCCCCCTTCCATGTCTGTTTTGAGTTAAGAGTAATGTTAAGGTTCGATACAGTTTATTAACTAGGAAATCCTATTGGTCTGTAAACTTAGTAGATGTTCAGATAATAAAGGCTTCATTTGTTTCCCATGACTTAAGGTCAGAGTGTAAAATGACTGTACTGGGGGCTGGGGAGATGGCTCAGTGATGGAGAACATCTGTTGTTCTTGCCGAGGACCCAGCACTTGTCAGCACTTGCATGATGGTTCACAACCATCTGAAGTTCCTGTCTTGGGAGAGTTACCAACCTCTTCTGTCCTCCATGCGCATAGCAATGAATGCATACACATACATACATGCAGGAAACTCATGATTATAAGAATAAAGTAAATCAGTCGAAAATGTATGTCTGTTTTGACACATACTGCTTCATGCATTTTTGCTTTCCTTTGTTATCATCTTTGTTACTGTAAATCAAGATTGCTGGAAGTGTGACTGCAGAGTAAGGAATGACAGTATGCCTTTTTAAAGTATGTGCTAGTTTCCAAAAACCTTATTTTTAGACTCCGATACTTCTTAAAATTCAGAAAAGATTGATTAGGCTCCAGTTTTATGCTAACTGTACCCATTTAGATTGTAGGAATGTAATATAAAGAAGAAGAAGCCCTGCTTTGCAAACCATCCTGGGACAAATTTGGTGCTGCCTAACCAAATGCTTTGCCACTGTCTTAGCTGCATTTCTGTTGCTGTGATAAAACACTATGATCAAGGCCACTTATAACAGGTTTAATTGGGCTTCCAGTTTCAGACCGTTAGAACACGTGGTAGCAGAGCAGACGTGTGGTGGCAGGAACAGCTGAGAGCTCACATCTTGGTCCACACGCAAGAGGCAAAGGGCACACTGGAGATAGGGCTAGGCTTTCGAAACCACAAAGCTACCCCCAGTGACACACTTCCAGCACTACCACACTTCCCAATCTTTCCCAAACAATTCCAACAGGGACAAAGTATTTTCACACACACAAAGCCTGTGGGGACCATTGGCATTCAAACCAACACACCCTCTTTAGCAACAGATTGTGCCCACTGACAGTGTCTCACTAGAAGAAGACAGTGGAAGGTAGAGAATTAAGATTTAATTTTGAATGGATAGCAAGCAACTCTTACCTAAAGAAAGCAGTTACCTATTTACTCAGGTGTTGGTTGAAGGAAAATACCTACTTATTAGATAAGTTGGGGCAAAAGTAAATGATATATACTAGTAGTAGTAGTTGTTGGAAAATATACAAAGTTGCATTACCAAGATGACATTAAAATCCCATCTCTGGTGTCTCATGTGTCTGTAATGCTTCAGAATGGTTGGTAATATTGATAATTTCTCTACTTTCCTGATGTTGACAGAATCTAAACCATTAATGCTCTGGAGGTTAGAGATAAAACATAAAGGACTCTTTCTTCACTTCACTGATTTTAGAGTTTTGTTGTTATTGTTGTTTGTTTTTGTTTTGCCCATAGAAAGTAATTGCACATACCTTGACACTAAGCAGAACTCAAAAGTTATTTGATTTGCTTTAAATTTGATTTTCTAAAATACAGAGGTAGGGGGTGATATTTTTAGTACTAACTTTAAAGATACTTGAGAATTTCTGGTTCTGTTTTAATTAACTCAGTAATAGCTTATGTGGTGCCTCTATTTCAGTTAAGAAAAATGAAAGATCATATGTGATAAATCCAAAGTAACAAGAAAGCAAAATGGCTTGGTACTTGGATATTGTTGTAGGAATGTGTATAATAAGATAGGTTACCAATTATAACATGAAATATTTTCCAGACTCTTATTACTTACACTTTGAAGGTCACCATTTAATATTAAGCACAGGATACATTTCATTCCTGTGGTAGCAGACATTATGATGTCACTTCATTATCCACCATGTACCATGGGAAACTGATGTGAATTATGAGGCCACCTCTTAGAATCGAAGCTGTAGAAGATTGTGAGCGGTCTACAGCATGGCATGCCCATGTTTCCTATTTTAGAACTGACTGATCTTCAGATAACATATGGTGGTACAAGTAATTGGAAAATTGACAGACCTGTCAAGAAAGTATGCTAGATGAGACCAAAATGCCATGCCGGAGCACATAAAGTGTCTTAGAAGTTAAATTTATTGTTTTTTATCAAAGAGCAAAGTAAAGCTATCTGGTTCTCTGACCACAGAGAGCACTGTTCAGTAGCAGGTGTTCAGAAAGTAATGCTGAAAGCTGTGATAAAAGTGGTGGCTTTTAAAGACAGATAGTAAGTTTTTTATCAATATTAGAAGAAAATACTATGTACTGTTATTAAATGTTAGTAACTTTATAACTCCAGATATGTAATCTTTTCCTTAAGGGTTCCTGAATCAGAACAGCCACGTTGTTTACTGGTAAGACACTGTTAAATGTGTTTGTTGGGTTGAAGTGTTCTCTGAAATTTAAAATTTCATGTTTGCTAAAATTTATTTTGCAGGAAGATGAAAATGAAGCTGAAAGAAAAAATGCCTCTCAGGAGCTTAGCGTGGAGCAGAAAAATCCCAAGAAATGAAGATTCTCTGTTGTTCTGGAGCGTTTACAATTCATGGTTGAGGCAACTAACATTTCTAGTTTGTAAAGTGTTACTGTAAAATCTAATTTGCAAAACTCTTCTCAATAAAGTCCTTGAAATAGGAACTTGTATTTGGAATTTATACTTCTTTCTTAAACAATTCAACTTTGATTTAATAGTCAACCACTCATAGTATCTTTTGGTTTTTGTTTTGTTGGTGATGGTGGGTTTGGTTTTTGTTTCAGTTTTTGTTCTTTTAAGACATGATCTCACTGTGTACCCTTGTGGGCCCGGAACTCCCTATGTAGACCAGGCTCTCCTCAAACTCACAGAGATCTGCCTCCATTGCTGGGACTAATTTGTGCCACTGTACCAGCCTTTGAAATGCTTTTTTTTTTTTTAATTTTATTTTATTAGTTCAAATTAGGAACAAGCTTGCTTCAGATGTCAATCCCTTCTCCCTTTCCTTCCCCTTC